GGGGGGGGGGGGGGGGGGGGGGGGATTATCCAAATTGTAAAAAGAACCAACCGGGGCATAAATAACACTATCTAAATTTTGGCACGTCAAATGGTTTAACATCTGTTTTAGGTTTAACCATATTATTAGGCACAAGTCCAATACTTTATTAGATAGCTATTCGCAGATCTCCAATGGAGAGTACGAAACTTTGCCTCTTTTTGATAATCATCTCCCTGTCCAGGCATTAACCTTATAACCTTGATTTACCATTTTCTCAATTAGCCGGAGATTATCATGTACTCCTAATTCCCTTTTGGAAAAATTGTATATATATCTTAATTAAAAAAAAAAGTCTTTCCGATATGCATGCAAGCAGGACCAGTCTAACGTGGAATATCAATAAATATTAGAGTTGACAAAAACAAAATCAATCTATTATTGTTGAATATCATCTATGTTTGGACTTTTATTTCATAATAAGGTCTCCAACTTCGAACCCTTCAATTCCAAGGAAGCTAATAATAACAAACTACAAGTGCAATATAAACCACATGCACCGTAGACAAACATGCTTTACTCGCACTCGTCGACAACTCACAAAGTCATGACAAAGATATAACACCAATGTTTGACAACACATTTAACACCATGTCTTATTGACTGTTAGTGATATTGGTGGGAGTGAGAGAAATGTCTGTAAAATTTAATTTGATTCGAAAATTCAGGATATTCGTATTACAGTCAGGCTTGGCCCAGTAAAAGCTGATGCCTAAAGCAAAAACTAATTTGGCGCCCTAGTAGTTTCGAACCCGTCACTCTATTTACTGACAAGTCTGACAAGTCGTGCACAACCACTAGACTACAAGAACTTTTATGCACTTTTGATGCCCTTAAATTGTTATTTGCATTTGGCGCCTAAAACCCTAGCTTCACCAGTTTTAGGTCAGGGTCGGCCCTGATTACAGTATACAAACATATACTAATATTTATATTCGTAATACAAATCATAAATACTAATATTTTTAAAATTGATATCTCCTCTCATATGTTATACACACATGTATATAAATAACTATATAAACTATATAATTATTATATTTTATGTAAGTTTTATAATATTTTTATTCATTAAGTTGATTATTTTAGCTATTCGAGTTTTCAAATAAATATATAAATAATTTTTGTCTGTATAGTAAAATGTTATTAGTTTATATTAATTTCTCGATTTTTACTTTAAAAAGTATTTTATTTGTATGAACTGAATCGGAAAATATAGTTTTTTTTTAATATTTGGATATCTTGAATATCTGGAAAAGTTGAAATCAGATAAAAAAACAGATTTGATTACGAATACCTCTAAAATTTTGGATATATGTTTCATGCCCACTATGTAGCTATTGGAAAAATCAAACCAGAATATCAAACTACTTAAATAAGAATGAAATATATTATGTGTGTAGTCCTTTTCTCAATAACTTCCATGAACCACCTTCATTAGCCTCCATATCAAATAGGAGCCCCACATCCTCTGTGTTTCTCCCAACCTACCCTTATTTTTTTTGTAATATTCAAATGTTCAACTTTCTCAGACACACCAAGTTTGACTCTTCCATCTTCAAAGATTTTGTAACTAAGAGACTTATACTCTATTACTAGTCTTCCAACTGCCCACACTACACATATTTATAAAGTCTTCTTCAACTTATGTTGGTCATATTCATATCCCTCGTTTCAGTTTTCCACATTTTTAAAAAAATTAGTTTAATTGTTTGAGGCTCATCTCTCTCTTGTGCCTTTAATTTGTTTGGTTCTTTTTCTATATATCTACTGATCATTTAACACCAAGGAACGTTTGTTGTGTTCCGAAGGTATTTGATAGGATATGTCTGGTCAATATGTTTTTACAAATGTTTAGTTGGTGTAGCTAACATTAATAAGACTATAATTTTGTTTCTCAATTAATTTAAGGCTTTGATACTGATATGTATTGACGTGTGCACGAGGTTTCTATATTAATCTTTTTTTGGAAGTATATATCCTCTCGCTTTATTGTGGCCATGGGTCTTGAAGGTGGCTCTTTTACCTTGACATCAAGAACCAATAGTTTCAAGAGAGATCATACTAAGCACCAGAATTCTCCTAAGATAAATCTGAGACCTACTATGCAACGCTCGTTGAGTTTCAACAGCTGGGAAGTTCCAAAAGAGACCAATACTGATTCAGATTTTGAGGTCTTGGAGACAAAGAAGTCAACTCCAAGCACTCCGAATGGAAGAAACTGTGAGAGAATCCAAATAAATAAACTTACAGTAACTCCACCTGAGCCTTTTGTGTTCTTCTCTCCTAGACCGGTCACCGAGCTTGATGCCGCTGCAACTATGGTACAAAAGGTGTACAAGAGTTACAAAACAAGAAGGAACTTAGCAGACTGTGCTGTCCTTGTTGAGGAGCTCTGGTCTGTTACTTGATTGATCTTCTTCTTGTGTTGTCTTGTAAAGAAGTTTTACACTAACCCATGTGTTGCTTCAAATGTTGTAGGCAGAAGAGCTTGGATGCTGCAGCTCCAAAATTGAGCTCAAATGATTCAGATTTTAAGGTTTTTGAGACAAAGAAGTCAACTCATAACAATCTGAATGGAAGAAACTGTGAGAGAATCCAAATAAAGAAACCCACAGTAACTCCACCAGAGCCTTTTGTGTTCTTCTCTCCTAGACCCGTCACCGAGCTTGATGCAGCTGCAACTACGCTACAAAAGGTATACAAGAGTTACCGGACGAGAAGGAACTTAGCAGATTGTGCTGTTCTTGTCGAGGAGCTCTGGTGAGTTTTACATAATTCATTTTCTTCTTTTTAATGTGTTATGAAAGATGTTTAAACTCAACCCTTGGTATTGCTTGTGACGTTGTAGGTGGAAGACTCTTGATGCTGCAGCTCTGAACCTGAGCTCTGTGTCTTTCTTTGAAGAAGAGAAGCATGAGCCTGCTGTTTCAAAATGGGTACGAGCTAGAACACGAGCCGCTAAGGTCAGACATCATTTCCACAACTTCTTTCTCCTATTTACTTCCAAGTTTAAGTGTTATTAGTTTCACTATATCTCTTTGTTATGAAGAACCAATGTTGGATTCAATCTTGTAGGTTGGGAAAGGCTTGTCAAAAGATGAAAAGGCTCAGAAATTAGCTCTTCAGCATTGGCTTGAAGCGGTAAAGTCCCTAATGGCATCTCCAATAGAGCACTATCAAAAGTTATCTTCACTTTGATGTTGTTAATCTAACCTGATTGTACCTTTCTTTTATCTACAGATTGACCCACGTCATCGTTATGGCCACAACTTGCACTTCTATTATGATGTCTGGTCAGAGAGCATGAGCTCACAGCCATTCTTTTACTGGTTTGTCTTAGGTCCCAAAAAAAATCTTAGATCTTTCTATGTTGACTCTGTTCTAATCTCTGTTTCCACCCATTTGAAACTAAAGGTTGGATATAGGAGACGGCAAAGATGTAAATCTTGAGAAACATCCAAGAAGTGTGCTGCAAAAGCAATGCATCAGTTATCTCGGACCAGTGAGTTTCTTACACGACAAAAGTAAACTAGATTTACCTTCTTGATTTACTCATTACCTTTGTGGTTCTTTCAAACCTTCAGATGGAGAGAGAAGCATATGAAGTGATTGTGGAAGATGGGAGACTAATGTACAAACATAGCATGACTCTGATCAACTCAACTGATGAATCAAAGTCGATTTTTGTACTTAGCACGACTAGAACCTTATACGTAGGGAAGAAGAAGAAAGGCGTTTTCCAGCACTCTAGTTTCTTGTCTGGAGGAGCCACGACAGCTGCAGGAAGATTGGTGGCCCATGATGGGATTCTTGAGGTGCTTAAGTTACATGTCTTGCTTCTCCATCGTGTATGAATCTCCTTTTGTGGTCTTACTCACATTTTTTTGCCTCAGGCTATATGGCCATATAGTGGACACTATCTCCCAACAGAAGAAAACTTCAAGGAGTTCATAAGTTTCTTGGAGGAACACAATGTTGATCTCACCAATGTTAAGGTAAGGAAACAAAGAAACATTAGACCCTTTTGTGTTCTTACATCAAGATAATTTTTTGTATTATCGCAGAGATGTGCTGTGAATGAAGAATACTCGTCTTCATTCAAATCCACTGGAGACGAAGAAGAAGAACCAAAAGAAACCTCAGAAGAAGTTGAGATACCTTCAGAGCAAGAAGAGAGAGCTAGACCAGTGTTTGATCCTGCGAAGAGACTTTCTTGTAAATGGTCAAGTGGATATGGTCCAAGAATTGGGTGTGTTAGAGATTATCCAATGGAGCTACAAGCACAAGCATTGGAGCAAGTCAATCTCTCGCCTCGTGTCTCACCTGCCAATTCGTATGGACCTATTCCATCTCCAAGACCGAGTCCTAAAGTAAGAGTCTCTCCACGGTTGGCATACATGGGGATCCCAAGCCCGAGAGGTGTAAAATGCTAAACACACTCACTTCTTTATGTAACTTGTTCACCAAGAAAAAAGATGCTAGAAGCGGAGAAGCTAACCTCCATCCTTCTTTGTAATTTTTTTTGTACTTTCCACCTTTCTTTGTTCGTTTATATCTTGTGAATTGCAACAGTTTTATCTTTCAAGTAGTTCTTTGGATGATCTTCTTGTGAGCTGTTTAGATTAAAATACTTGAAGAAATTTAGGCAGATTTTAAGAAAAAAGTTTGCATTTTATTTTGGTTGGTGTAAATGCAGTTGTTAGTACGTAAGACCCCACAATTAGAGATGGATCAAAATTAACTATGGTTGTTTCATGGCACTACATGTGAGACTGTCAGTGTTGGTACTCTCCATTCTTGGTACATGAATGAGCTCTGAATGGTTGAAACTTCTCTTGAGGAACTTGATATATTCACCAATTGTTAACAATCCATTGCAAAAGTGACATGATATTGATGTAAGTTCCTCATATATTTCATCGCCCAAATGAGCACCTCAATTTCCTAATGTAGGGGGAAAAAGTAGTTCTGGTATTCCTTGCTCCAATTAGTCCAAATGATGAGAGTATATAATTTGAAAAATTAATTGAGAATTTCTTTCGATTTATAAATAGTTGAGCATTTTATCACTAAAATATTTAAGAACATTTATTAACACTTATGCATTGGTTAAAACTCTTATATTCAAATTATAAGCCTTTGCAATTAATTTATAAACCCCTTTACATTATTTTTCAATCTTATAGTCAGTTTATAAAATTTATAAATATTTTAATAGTTTTACAAATTATTAATAAGACTTAACAATGGTTTTATAAGCTTTTACAATTCATGCTACTTGTTAGGGTAAAATAATGCAGGGTTGTTTGTGATACTACATAAATAGGAAAACAATGAAACAAGAAGAGTAGATCAAATATATTGCTTACTGATCAATGGACAAAAGTACAACATATTTGTTCAGAAATCAAAGCGAAAAAGAACAATCATGCATTATTTTCCCAGAGGTCGGAGGAAAGTATGGCCCTAGGGCCAGAAATGGTGTAAATAATAAAAGAAGACTAGTTTCCTACTCTAAGTAAGAAGATTAACCTCATGAATGAATTATCTTTAACACTATTCAAAACTTAATACAATTTAGAAATCTTAAATTATTTGATATTTGGAACACAAGTTTGCTTATATCATTATTGCCAAATATTAAATAATTTAATATTTATATGTTATACTAAGTTTTAAGTAGTCTTGTGGATAATTAATTTAGAAGGTATAAATAAATTTTATAAATAAATTTTATAAAATAATGTATAAGGATTTATAATTCAGTTTTATAATTACTTTGATAAAGTAATGTGTAAAGATTTATAATTTAGTTTAAAGCCTTATAAATTGATCATAAGAGTTTTAAACAATACATAAATGTTAATAAAGAATTTTAAACATTTAATGATTACAAAACCATTCAATTACTTTTGAATTGAAAGAAAACTCTTCAATTAAGTTTTCAACATTATAAACCTTTAACTTACAAACTGTTAGCGTGTGTCACCCTTATTAAGGATATTTTAGATAGTGGATGATAGACATTAACATAATTAAAATTAAGGGTTTCTTTTGTCAAGTTTTTAGCTGAGAGGTTATTTTACGATTCATTTTAACTGTGAGGTTTAGTTACTAAAAACCCTTGTTCAACTATACAATCTACCTCAAACCATTATCATTTCTTCAAAGCATTTCTACACTGTAATTCATCTCTTTATTTTTCAAAAATAAAATCTAAAAGTAGATAATACAATTTTTAATGTATTCGTGTAAAATAGAACATACTATTTATTCAAATATAAGAATAATCAAAAGATTGAATTCTCCTTAATCTATATATAATGGTAATGTTGAATCTTTGTTTCAACAGTTGAAAGCTTACATTGAAGGTGTCAAAATTTAAAAAATATGACATTGGTCGTTTTAGTCAGGCTTTGCTTGAAAAACATGCTTGGAGAATCTGGAATAATCATGATTCCTTGGTCTCACGTATTCTTAAAGGCAAATATTTTAAAAACGGGGACTTCCTGGATTGTGGTATGGGGACACGTCCGTCTTATGCATGGCGGAGTATCATGCATGGTAGAGAGTTACTTAAAAAAGGTTTATATCGACACATTGGCAATGGAGTAGCTACTAATGTTTGAGCTGAAAACTGGATTACTGATACTATTCCTCGACCTCCTATGTACCGGGAAAATAGCACAATAGATCTAACGCTAAAAGTTTTAGACTTATTATTGCAGGGGTCAAATCATTGGGATATTAATCTATTACATCAAACATTTGCGCCACAGGATGTTCAAAGGATTTTAATGCTGAAACCATCATTGTTACTTGAAGACACAATCAGAGGGGGTATCACACCAAATGGATCATATTCGACTAGAAGTGGGTATAAGCTGGCTGAGTCTTTGGTGGAATATGATCATCCTTCAGAACATACCCTCACCCCTATAGAAAAACAACTGTGGAAAGAGTTATGGAAAATTAAAGCACCACCAAAAATAAAACATTTTATGTGGCGTGCCCTATCTGGTGGTTTAGCGGTCAAACAACGTTTGAATACTAGGGGTATTCCGGTCGACCCAACTTGTTCTATCTGTGGGCTGGAGACAGAGAGTATATGTCATGTTCTTTTTACATGTACGAAAGCACATGCAACATGGGAAAAAGCTAATTTCCCTCTACCTTTAGGTGGTTTTTCTCGGAACTCAACCTTTTTAAATTTTGTGCACCTCATCAAAAATGGCAAGAATTTAGTCACGGATACTCATATACGAAGTGTTTTCCCGTGGCTCCTGTGGGAAATTTGGAAAGTTAGGAACGCTTTTGTTTTTGAAAACAAAGACATTGACCCGTCTTTCATTGCTAAGAAAGCTTATGAGGATGAATCCACATGGTCCGATACTTTTTCAGGTGCAAAGGATAGTGTTAATGATATTTCTACTCCACTGTTAACTTGGAAAAAACCACCTAAAGGTTTTCTCAAATGCAATGTTGGTTCCTCATGGTCGAATTCTAATCATATTACTGGTGCTTCATGGATTTTATGGGATGACAATGGCTGTACAATCATGCATAGTCGTCGTGCTTATTCTTATATGCGTACAAAAGCAGAGGCTGATTTATGGGCACTTTTCTGGGCGGTAGAGTGTGTTCACAATCTGCACTTCTCGAATATTATTTTCGAGACTTCCTCGGAGAGCCTTCATGATGCACTGACAAGACCAGATGATTACCTCAGTCTCCGCCATATTTGTCACACTATCTTCCTTCTACTAGCCATGATGGATTCATGGAGTTTAGATCATGCTCTCCCCGAACGTAACGAAGCTGCTGATGCTATTGCTATTAGTGTCACTCGTGATCACCGCCACCAGTCATATATCGCCCGCAATGCCTCCGTTTGGTTTCATCACTTACTTGCTTTGGAGGTACGGTACTGAGCTTTTTTATGGGTGAGATCTTTGTTTACATTTTTTTGGATGTCTACTGACATCTCTTCTTATATATTATGTATCCCATCTTGTTCTGTATCGAATATTCACCAGTGTTATAAAAAATAGAAATATTTTTGTTGAATTTTTTCAACATGTTGAAAGTTAAATAGCTAGGGTCCACGTATAATTGTATTCACCTTGATTACTTTAGGTCACTTATACTATAGCAAATTATTTATTTCTGTAATTATTTTATATCACAAAATATTATCTTTTTTGCTATACGAATATAGTTTCGTATGTTTGAGAAATAGATAAAAAATATCCTTTATCATATTTTTAATAAAAATATGAAAAACGAAATAGAAGAAAAGGATGAAAGAAAAAGTGAAGTGGAAGAAAATAGAATATGAGGTGAAAGGTTAAAACTGAAAATAAGATGTTGAAAGATCCAACCAATGTATATGGTCTTAGGCGTTTTCAGGGACGGGCACTGAAGATATCTTTCAATCTGTGTTTTTCAGTGTCGGTGATGTCGCCAGCTATCATTGTCACTGCTTCTCCTCTTTCTCCTATTTATATTTTGTATTTCATATTTTCTCGTTATGTTATGTGGAGAAGATGACGGAGACCACTGATTCGGTTCTTGTCCCCTTGTTGTCCATTCCTTTTTGTCCTTTTTTCTTTCACCGACGATGAATCAGGAGGGATCTCCCACCACATTTTTGCTCATGGGTAAGCTCCAATGAACCTCTTTTGGACGCCATTAGAAAAGTCACACATATGACTTTGTCCACGCTCTTTAACGTCGATAGAGAATAGTGTTCATCAGTTGACCTATTTCTTTCTACCTAGGGCATATTTCTACCTCGGGGAGTTGAGCTAAATAACCATCCATTTACTGCTTCCGTCTTATCCGACGCCAGATCCGTAGCATATGGGTTTGTTCGGCAGATTTCTACCTCTCCGAAAATTATAGTGATATGCCCTTCCATTGAGTGGAAGCTTCTCAGTGTATGACATGTTCTTTGTTGGTAAAGTGCCGTCAGTATTTTTATCTTCACATCCGACGAATAGTTCGGAGTCCTAATCTTTGTAAACTAGCTAACAATTGCAAGGGGACTTAGTTTTTCGTCTATTTGGACCTGGCCCAATAAGATTATAAAATTTGTTAGCTTTTCTACAAGACTACCAAGAGCCATAATTAGTGAAGAGGAATCATATCAGCCTGCTAGGGCATTGGTCATTCTTTTCTAGTGGTTTGAAGATTTCTGGTGGCTTCACTAGAGTTATATTTTGAGCATGTCTTCATATCTCCCTTTTGGGAAGAATTTCCGGTGGGCTCACCCGACTCGGTTCTGTTTTTATCATCTTCCTTTGGCATGGAGACTCCTTCACTACCATACTTTATTTCCATGAAAAGGATGTGTTCATATTCTTTGATGAGTAATAGTTCTAGTTTATTAACCATTTTGTTATTTTTGTGGAGCAGTCTGTACAGAGCCTAAAATACAATCAAGACTGTCGTTTTTTGGTTGGTGTGAGCTGGTTCTTGACATCATTACTTTATGTGACTATCTTTCAGTTGTCCGACTTTGTTGTGGAACCAACCTGGATTCGGTCTTTAGTCACGGTTGAACCAGTTTAAAGCGGCTAGTCCGATCCTGTTTTCACTAGTGTAAATGTAACTGTTTATCTATTAGTACTAGCCATGGGTACAAGCAAAGTAAGTGCTTCCAGCCTTTCTTAGAATATGAATATTTTGGCTTTTGTCAACAAAATCGTTAGTAGAGTAGTTGTTTATTGTTAGGAATAGTGTGTTTGTGGTAGTGAGATCGAGTATAGTAAACTACATTTTCCAATTTTTCATGTGTAACCAGTCCAACTTTTTGTTGTTGCTTCCAGGTTATAGTTGTTCAGGGCCTAGCTAATACACTGTAGCTAATACACGGAAACGCACTAACACTTCTTTAGAATCGTTGACAAAGACTCGTTTTTATTTAAATGGAATATGGATGGAAATGGAATCTTACATATAGAATCTTAGGACATAATGTTTTAGGTGAGACCAATATAAAAGAATACGACATGATCGCAATTATAAAGAAAAAGGACTGGAAGAGATCACAATAAAAGAAAATGGATCCACTGAAATTAAAAAGAAGACTTAAATAAACTACCAGATATTATTATGTTTAAAAATAAAGATTGGCTTACGTGAGCTACATGGCAGACACGAAGTTGAAGACAACACCATCAACGGTGTTTGTATAACCACACATCTCTCTAAAGTCCGTTTCAAATGGGCTCCATTTCAACCTATTTCTACACCATCTAATGCTTGTCCTCTTCGTCACTTAGTATTACTCACGTCTTGCCAAAATTATATGTGAGTAGATTCAATTTGGATGACAAAATGGACTTGTAAGTCTTTGTAATTTTATTTTACTCGTCGTGGTGAAAAGAGAACTTATCATCCATAACTCATTAATCTACTTGAAGACCAACTAGACTAAAAGCTTTGAAAAACAAGTTACATATGTTCGATGAGTTTAATTAGCATTGATATCTCAAATTTGTGAGTTTTCAGTTATCCTGGAGGCAAAATAGTTTCAGGCAGCTCCGTTATGACGGAATCGATAACAACAGAATCTAAATCTAATTCCTTGGGATTGGTCCAGTTTTTATATAGTTTCATTACAGTACATGAAAAAGCTATGCTAATACTTTGTCAAAATAGCAAAAGTGTAACTTCAGAGAATATACAATACCTTATTTGTATTGGAATTTTAAAAGTACAATCACTAATATATATTTAGAACCTAATTAGAAAATAAAGGCAAACAAACCTATGGCAAGAAAAAAACTTAAAAACAATAAATTTGAAAGGTTTTAAACTCCATTAATTCTAGTTTTTGTCGATCGTTCTGATAAAAATGTTTTATCAATTGATATTTGATGTTTCGTTTTAGTTTTATTTTTCTCTTTTTATCTTGTTACCTCATCCAGCAATGACATAAAGAAAAAGAACTGACTCCAATTCTCTGCTAGGCAGTACAATAAAGTGTAACCCAAATTACCCCATACATGTTCGAACTTGCTTTCTGGAGTTAACCAACAACATATAATTCTCCACCACTGCTTCCCAATGCATAAGGAGAGTCGTATTCCCTTAATTATCCTAACATGACTAGGATATATACTCCAAAGTCCAAACTTGTGAATACCTTTTCCTATTGAAAAGGTCAACATCAGAAATAAAATCTACCCCACTGGTTTTGGAACTCCCATGCATTTAACTCATCAAAATAAACATTTTTCAAAAATACAAAAATATACTTCCTAGCTCTGTTTAAAAAAAAAGATATATATTTTGGAATTTCATGTAAATTGAGAAAATATACGAAATTTGATTACCAATACATTATTTTTAAAAGGAATTATTCCACATAAATTTTAACTACAATTAGGTTTTTGAGATCTACAATTTACCATTAATTAATACACTGAAAATGTAAAATCTGTATCCTTTTTAAATATTTTTTCTAAAACATTAGATATTTTCGGAACATTGGAGTACTCTTTATGTTGTACATTTAAAAAAAAAAACAAATTGCACTCACAACCCAAAAAAAGAAAATCATAATTCACCAACTAAGCAAAATTACACCATATCTCCTCTTTTTTTTTTCTATCTCTCTCTACAAAACTAATTTTTCTTTTTGGTTATTTCACAGATAAGCCATTTTTCTTATTACAAAAAAAAATTACTTTAAAATTTCAGTGCAATGTTTACTTATTTTAGGTTAATAATAATAATAAAATACAATAATTTTATTCATTTCATATATTATTAATTAAATAAATATAATTAATACTAATTTATATGCATTGCATTCAGTTCTTTAGTACGTGTGAAAACTGAAAAGTGTCAAAATAACAGTCTGTTGTGAAAGGATGAAGTATGAGAAAGCAAAGGAAATAGAAAAAGAAAAAGCAAAAGAAAACACATCACGAGAGAGTACTTTGTGATGTAAGCAACCACATACACCACTCCCTTCTCCTCCTCTCCATTGTTTGTCTTTTTATTTCCCTTTCCTCAATAATTCTCTTCTTAATTATTTTATTGGCTATTTCATAATATTTCTTAATTTTTATAAATACTGTTATAGTGTCTCTCTTATGATTCGTTTTTTAACCTCTTTTGATTCTTTCTATATATACAAATACAAGATTCACCTCTTAAAACACCTCTCTACGTTTCTTTCTCCCTCTCTCTAATTGCTGCTATGATGCAAGAATTAGGTTTAGAACGTTTCTCCAGCGACCTCACTCCTCCTTCCCAAACCTCATCTACTTCTCTCTCCATCGACGAAGAGGAATCCCCCGAGGCCAAGATCCGACGGCTGATATCAGAGCATCCGGTGATAATCTTCAGCAGATCTTCTTGTTGCATGTGTCACGTCATGAAAAGACTTCTCACAACAATCGGAGTCGTCCCCACCGTCATCGAGTTAGATGATCACGAGGTTTCCTCTCTCCCCGTGGCTCTTGAAGAAGAATATTCCAGCGGTGGCTCCGTCGTTGGTCCTCTGCCGGCGGTTTTCATTGGCCGTGAGTGCGTTGGTGGTCTTGAGTCCCTTGTCGGGCTCCATCTAAGTGGTCACCTTGTCCCTAAGCTTGTCCTAGTTGGAGCTCTTTGGGTATGATTGTACTTTACTTTTGCTTTTCAATAGTATTTTGCAGTATCAAGAAGCAGAAAATTAGGGTTTGTCTTTTCTGATTATTTTCTGATGATCAAAATCAAAGACCCATGTAGAATATGAATATGAATATTAGTTAAAGATATGTAAGTAGTAAATTTTCTATAACTTGCTTTTTCATTTTCTCTATCACTTACTAAAGTATATATATACATTAATCATCAACCTTATTTATGAATCATCGGATTGGTTAGAACTAATTAAATAAAATATGATCTAGTTGTATAATGATTCAATTTTATTTATTCTTGTTTTATTTTTAGATTATACTATCATGTAGAGAGATATTTATAATCATAGACTCCTTGGTAAGATGCAAGATGTTTAATGTTGATATAAATTAATTAGTTTCAATATATACTACTATACTGTTATTGGCAATTGAATTGATTTTGCTATATGATAGGAATAATTCTAGTGGTAGTTAATTCATAAGAGTAGTGATAACCGTAATCGATTATTGACTTCAGTTCTGAGTACCTTCTTCATTATGAATTAGTATCATTTATTTGGTTATTACAAAGAGGACGAATAGTGATATAAATACGATATGAAAGTTGATTTTCGTTGTTTCTCTTATTCTAAAGAATAAAGTTGAGAAATGAGGAAAGAAGATTCCACCATTATTTGTAAGGTCTCCAAGTTCTCGGCATTAGGGGTGGGTATTTTGGTTTTATTACAGGTTAGGTTTGAGTTCGGTTTGAGTTCGGTTATTTGAGTTTAAGAAAACTTTAACCAAATTTAATCCTTATTAGTTTGGTTTATGTTTGGTTTGGTTCAGTTTTAGTTTGGTTTGATTTGTGTTCGGTTTGGTTTGATTCGATTTAATGTAGTTTTGTTTATATTTTCAGTTCAGTCGAGCTGATTTTTTAGTTTTATTCTAGTTCAATTACAAAAATATAATTAAGAAGAAAACATTAACAAATCATCATTTGACACTAAATTATTGTTTTATGCATATCTAAACATAAAATCAAACATCACAATAAATATTTAGAAGATGTAATCTAATAATTTTATATTATTATTTTCAAATTTAATATAAAATTATAAAATTATTCGGTTTTGATGTTAATGTATAGCTTCATATTTTTTGTTTTGTTTATTCTATTCATTTATACTAAAATGTATAAAATTATTATTTATTTATGTTAAATGGTTAAATATATTAAATATATTAAATCTAATATTATTACTATATTTAATTAATCTAATTAAAAAACACTTTGATTTTTTGGTTTAGTTCGGTTTAAAACCAAACCAAACCAAATCATTCGGGGTGATAAAATTTTGAATTAAATGGTTTAGACATATACTTTAATTTGGTTTGGATTCGGTTGGGTCGATTTGGCTTGGTTTGGTTCAGGTTTTTTGCCCACTTCTACTCGGCATCACCTTAAATTCTTATTCAAATAAATATTCCTCTTTTAATAAAGTCGGCGAAGACCCTCAAGCTATTAATCATCGATCCATCTAATATATAATGGGAGTCACCATCTTAAGCCAGACGATTTCGTAATTGTGCCGTGATCTCGTCTAGGTAAATAGTCAGTCGATTATACAATTTTCAATTAATTATTCGGAGATAAGTTCAGAGGGTTTTGGAAATGATATTAATAATAAACAAGTGGAAAATGGAGATCCACTTTTCAACAATTGAGGGATTTTTGACAGCGACTCTAAGTGGCATCTCTAACCAAATTCACTTTTGTTTTCCTCGCAAAATTTTTGAATTTGATTTTTCCAAAGATTCAGGAAAAGACCAAGAATGAACAAAATGCTACTCCCTCCATTTCTCCGTAGAGAAGTTTTTTCGTTATTAAATAAGTATCATTTTTTATTTTTAATGAAAAATTTATTAATTTTATTATGTAAATTATTTTTCTATTAGTTAAAATGTGATTAAGTGTATAGATAATTATATTTTTAAAAAGAAAATATACAAAATTAATTATTTCTTTAGTTCGTGTATATAATTCTAAAATAATATTTATAATGAGAAAAAAGATATGTTTATTTCTTACCGGTCGATTTGTAGTAACGTCGGATTAGAAAAGTAAGGTCAAGAGTCTAAGTTCCACATCTCAAGGCCAAGGGTCTAGATTGACCTACCGTATAAGTGATAGATACTATGTCAGAGTACACTGATATTTTACCAAGAGAGCTTCCGCGCGATAATTTGGTTGAATTTTGTTTCCTGTGCGATGCTTCAGTTCATTTTACTTTTCTTAATACATAAAAACGTTACATAAAAAACGAACGAGTTTCGATCAAATTAAAAATTACAGAGACAGCGTTTTTATGTATACAATGCATTCGATTCATCTAAATGATGTGGTCGTATTTTATTCATTTCTCTCAAATATTCTAATTATTAAACACATGATGGATCACTAGTCTGTCACGCATACAGGGACATATTACCTTACCTGCATTTCAAAAGGGATTTAAAGAGTAATCATTTAAGGGACGGCAGTCAATTCTAACCAGACCAACATGTTTTTTTTACCTAGACCAACATTTAGCTAATAACCAATAAATCGTTATGTTGTGCATGCATACTTTTAAGTTTTAACTAACTTATTATGTTATGGTGTAGAATGCATCATGCATTTTATGCAGGGTAGTGCTTGACCACAAATTGATCAAACATGTGCTTGAAGTGGACACTTTACGGGTCAATTTGACAAGAATAATTATTGGTTCAGTGGTTTAGTATGCTAATTTATTGGTCAAGGTTGTTTTTCAAAACACCATAATATCATAGTTGAGGCCAAAATTTTTTTTTCTTACTTTCTAACCTTTAAAAAGTCAGGTACGTACGCCCTGATTTTATGTATTACAAAAAAATGTTAATAAAAAATTATGTCACAAATGAGAACATATGCATCCATGCACCATTTTCTGCAAAGACCATGCGAGGAAAAAATAATTTGCCTAGTCATTTGTCTCGACCACAGGCTATACTTATGGTGTATGGATGCACAGAACGTTACAAAAATTAACTTAAAGTAAAAAAGTGGTAAAAAGAGGCATCTACTTTCTGTAAGCTGTCATTACTTAAATGTTGATGCCCACAAATGTCTCTGAGTTTCGATATCCAAAGTAATGCAATGAAGTGTAAGTAAATAAGTTTACATCTAAAACTAAGTATAAAAAGTTGCCGACCTATACAACTTCGTGGTTGTGAGATTTAAGTTTTTTTGTGTGAGATCATGTGACATGTCCTCCAAACTAAGGTTATGCTTTTTTATGTATATTTTTAATTTGCAAGTTGATGAATACTGATGGGAGACGATGACCTCATCAAACATAAACAACAATCTCTCAAACAGTTGTTTAATAATATTAGTATTTGAAATAATGGAATAAAATACAGAAAAAACCTCAGTGCGAAAGCCTCCCCACTTTCAATACATTATGACTTCAATTAAATTGAATAGTGTAACTGTACAGAATCATTTGCTCAATTATTTGATCATTGTCACATAGCTGATCCTGGACACTGCCTCATGAAACATTTACAATGGACCCCCAATTTTATAGGCCCCTAAAAACAAAAATTTAGTTATATTATATATAAAATTTAATAATCATATACAGCTCACTTTAAATTTGTTTCAAAAGATGTAAACAATTGTTATTTTTTCTGTGAGAAAACTTATGTCTTATTAGTACTTTGTATTTGAAAATATTTTTACAAGTTTGTTTCTGTTATTTTTTGTGATGTTGTATACTGGCCCCGTTTTCTATTTTGTTTCAGGCCTTCGAAATTTCAGAGCCGATCCTGAATTGTCATACGCATTGCCATTCGTCTTTAAAAATTCATTTGTGGTTGTGAAGACTGTATTTTTAAGTTGAACAATATCTTTGATAGACTACTGAATAAAGATTATCTCACAAATCTTATAATCTACTACATAAATCGGCTATATATCAAACAAAATAGATAGAGGTTGTGAACTTGTGAATATATATCGACGTAACTTTTGCTGCAAAGAAATGGACCCCCAATTTTATAGGCCCCTAAAAACAAAAATTTAATTATATTATATATAAAATTTAATAATCATATACAGCTCACTTTAAATTTGTTTCAAAAGATGTAAACAATTGTTATTTTTTCTGTGAGAAAACTTATGTCTTATTAGTACTTTGTATTTGAAAATATTTTTACAAGTTTGTTTCTGTTATTTTTTGTGATGTTGTATACCGGCCCGTTTTCTATTTTGTTTCAGGCCTTCGAAATTTCAGAGCCGGTCCTGAATTGTCATACGCATTGCCATTCGTCTTTAAAAATTCATCTGTGGTTGTGAAGACTGTATTTTTAAGTTGAACAATATCTTTGATAGACTACTGAATAAAGATTATCTCACAAATCTTATAATCTACTACATAAATCGGCTATATATCAAACAAAATAGATAGAGGTTGTGAACTTGTGAATATATATCGACGTAACTTTTGCTGCAAAGAAATGTAACTATACTGATGACTTGGATTTCTGGCCTTATCGTCACAATAGAAGAAAAGGAGCAAAGGACGTTTAAAGGGAGAATCATTAGGACTAAAATTTTAATTATACAAAAACAATTTAATTAATTCCCTCCAGCTTGGCAATGGCAGCACATGTTTCCTTCGTATTTGGAAAAGGCACTGACATTGTATACGATGACCCACCAACAAATTTAATATACCAAAATATCAAAAGTATTATCTTTAATGTTTTGTTTAACTGGATGATTGATCCGAAATATACGCCACTATCAAAGAAAATTTACAGTTTTACTTGTCTAATACAATTACCTCTAGTTTTATAAGAATATAAACCATTAAAATAATAAAAATAAAGTAGAAGAAAAAGAGAACCATTTCTATTTAAAAATATATAATTAAAAAAAAAACATTTTTGCCAATAATACATTTTTTTGTAAAATAAAATCAAACTTTACTTACCTAATTTTATTATTTTAAAATATTAATAAAATCTTTAGAAACTTAACTAAAACACTTAAATGATTCTCTAAAGTCCTACGTACTGACCTCAATAGTAGTTAATTTTAAAAATAAAATAAAATGGGAGTCTCTTTTATGCTACTTACGTAGGATATTTGTTTGTTTTTTGACATTTCAGTGTTTTCAGTACATAATCTAAATTTTTGTTCTTCTTTACTGTTTTCTAAACATTGTGATAAAAGAGGGAAATTTCTAATTTTATCATAAATTTAATATTATTTTTAAATTTACATTAAAAATATGATTTTCATAAATAACTTAAGTTGTGTATCGTGTTTTTGATTCATCTGAGGTCTCATCTAGAAAATTCAACAATGAATCTGATTTCTTGTCCGTATTTGTGTACGAAATGTTCACAATTCGGGTGATCTATCATGTACAATCACTAGATATGATTCTTTCTCATTACAACCTAATGCTGGTGCTGCTGGTGAATAGTTCGGGCTTATGGTTATCCACACATATCACATGGTAAAGCTTATATCGTAAATTTGGATCCAAATATTTTGCTATGACTATTAATGCTCAACTGTAAAAACTGATATGAATGAACTAATAATAATTGTAAAAGCTTATATCCTAAATTTGGATCTAAATACAGTTACTCAAATATATTTTACCTCTGTATTTGAAGTAATTAACTAATTAATTAATTATTATCTATATTTATTTGGTTTAATATGTTTACATCACTTTTTGGTGATATTTATTTTTAAATATATATATATATATTTATTATCATTATTTCATTATATTCTGATGATTTTTTGCTGTTTTTTGCTTTTTTTGTTATTTTCATATTTTTATCAAATATTTTCGTTAATATTGTAACTTTTACATTTGTTATATTAGTTTATAACTTATAACTTTTCATCTACATTGTATATATTAAGTTAATATATATTTGAATGACGAAGATGTTCAAATCACCTATAAAATTTTATAATTTTTTTTAACTATGATAGTTTTATCTCTTTGATAAAATAAATATAAATTGGATATTTTTGTTGTATCATAATTACTCTTAATAAATATTGACACATCACTACTAACATAAAATGCTAGACATAGCACGGTGCTATTGCCAATATCTTACTCTCACATTGCAATGATGGAAGGCTCACTGATGCCTCAAAGATTTGCAATGTCGAAGCCATTTACATGGCAAAGCGTCTAGAGGTACATTTTCTTCTTTTCAAACCAACTACTTGTTAGATGAGTTGAAGACGTATAGAGAGTCCAGTTTCTTTATTTTGTTTTTACAGAAACGGTATTCAGTTCTTTTCAGTTGTTTAAAAGGATCAGTAGCACACAAATTCATCATAGACTTGAGTATGCATTTGGAGTTAGAGAGGTTCTGCAAGGCTCTCATTTTGATCATGAAAGAAATTGCGTAGATTGAAAACGGTGATAGTTGCGTTTACATACATACCAATTAATTTATTGTGTAAACAATATCACAATCGAATGACATGTCATTATAGCACTTTATGATAGAATTCATAAGGAACTAGTGATATATACTACACTAAGATTACACAAACTTTGCTAATCTAAACAAATACGAAGATAGATGATTGATAACAAGATAAGATCCTAGAAATATAAATAAAAGTGATCTCAAATTCAATCAATAAATAAGTACAAGAATTAAACTTTCAATCAATAATAAAGTATAATCCATGAGATTAAAGCAATTGATCCAAAACAATTAGTTTCGAAGTCCACGTGTTAATTTTAAGCAATCACAAGTCTCGATAGGTCTAGAACATTAGTAAAGATCAAACATTTCCCAAGGTATTAGATAATCCAAGATAAATTGGGGCTTTTTTTTTGTTTTTTGGATTCGATAATCTTAGTTTTGTGACAAATGAATGAAATGTGAATCAGGTGTGTGAACAATGTGTATGGAGACAGGAAACTGGTGTGCACTCTCCTCCCAGATGAAGAACAAGTCGCAGCTGCAGTGTAAGTTACATTAATGTCATATGTGTTGTGTTCTAATCCATAATGTTCTTATTATCATACATTTTTTTCTCTCTTTCTCTCTATACTCGTAGGTAAAAACTTTCATAAAATTCATTTTTCTCTACAATCATTAACCATACCTCAGTTCTATTTGCTCTTTGTCTATCCCTTCCAATCTTTCCACACAAGTTAAAATAGAAAAAAAAATGTTTTATACTTTCAATGGAACAGTCTACAAATGTATGCATCAAAAGATACAGTTTTACTTACAGCTAACAATGATCACCAACTAATTTGGGTAAGATACAATAAAGAAACTGATTTTCATACGCAGAACAAAAAATTACAGGTGTTGTTGACTCAGTCTTCAACCTCAGTGTTGAATATAAAACTTGGAAATGCTGTCGTCACATCCCTTCAAAATTCGAACAAATATGTTGATGATCACAACGCAAAAGGCTATATCATCGATTGAAGAGTTAAGCTAACAAAGAGAAAGAAGATTTGATACTTTAGGTAAGGAAGAGTCATATTCTTCAACAAGCTTGGATGCTTAAGCACATACACTTTCCATTCCTCCTTGCTTATTTTACCGTCTCTATCTGAATCTGCGTCAGCAAATGTCTAGCAAAAACAAATCAAATCTACTAACAGAATTTACCAAATATGATTACTCAAAACTAAAGAGAGAATAATTCCAACCAAATACACTCACTTTATCAATAATCATGGTCAGAAGTTCCTCTGACAGCATCATATCAGACTCTTTCAAAATAGCAGCCACCATTTGATGCACCTAAACACATTAACAACTTCAACTTATTATCATTAATTAATCTCAAAAGACAGTTTCAACTTGCAATTACAGATTAGATACCTCCTCTCGTTCTATAAATCCGGTTTGTCTTAAATCATAGAGCCTAAATGCAACTGCCACAGATTAGAAAACATTTGCTTGAGACTCATCCATGGCTTAATAAAAATTTGCTATACTATTAATAGGACACTGATCGTTACAGTCTATCTTCTCCTCGATTGCTGCAGAGGGATGAAACACATTCAACGCATGGATAAACTCCTCAAACTCTATAACACCATTTTTCTTCTCATCAAACAGATCAAAAACCTACACAAATCAAACATATATATATATATTTCTCAATAAACCATGAAAAGAAACTATTCTGTCTCTAAAGAACACACTTACCCTATCAAGAAAGAGGTTCGGAGCTTGAAAAAGCGCTAGCCGAAGCTCTTCCTACAAACAGAGGAACATCAATATTCATTGATCAGAGAGATGATTCAACCTATGGCAATTCATTAACCACAAGAAAAAAAAGAACTGACCTTGTGAATCAACCCATCATCAATAATTGAACAGCTAAGTTTCTTGAATAACTCATACAATGCTTCAACTTCGTTGACTGAAACTGCAAAAAATACACATGCAAACCCAAAGTTTTAAACTTTGATCTCCAAAACAGAGAAACTTGAAAACCCATTGATCAGAATAGCTAGTAAAGAAAACCCACATTGAGATTCACGGGCAAGACGAGTCAGATCCGGGTGCTGACAAATCTGAGGCGATGGGCGGCGACGGCAATCGAAGCATTGTCCGAAGGTGGAGAAGAGAACATCAATAATGACCAAGAAAGGTACGAAGACGGCGCAGATTTGCTCTCCTACTGTAAGAGAGCTTGATCTCTGTTTGTTTTTCAATTCATCAAAGTAAAGATCAAGAAGAGTTCAACAAAAGGGGGAATAAAAATATCTAAAACAAAAATGGGTAATGTATTTTCTGAGAAAACTTACAGAGGAAACGTTCGTCCAGTCCATGACTCTTCGTCTTCCTTCTTTACTTGTTGTCAAGACGGTGTGTTGAAATCACATCACGAGTCTCGTGAATATACGCATGAGAGATGTGAAGAACAGAACAGAAAGAGCCTTTGGTTTTGAGTCAGTTACTTTGCTTTTTTGTCAACTCCCTCTGTTTTAGAAATATTTGTTTGTTTCAGAATTTAAGTTATTTTCGTATTTGTAGGACCATTTTTTATGTTTTCTTCTTCTTCTTTTTTTTTTCTTTTTGCATCAAACGGTCATTTTATTTTTCATACTTTACAGCTTTTTATAATTAATTAAATTATATTTTATTCATATATCCTTTTTCCATATATTCAATACTGTTTATATCTAATTATATTGTTTTAGGACATTGTCTATTTTAGGCATGGGCATCCGGGTCCTTGGATCGAGTTCGGGTCTGGATCTTTCGGGTCCTGAAAATTTTAGATCCATATAGGTACCTACGAATTTTCAGGTCGATTCCGGATCGGTTCAGATCTATAATTTCAATATCCGTAAAATACCCATAATTTTTACGTATATTTCGGATCCGGGTTGGTTCGGGTATTTAGAACCCAAATACCCAATGTAGACCCGAAAACCAGCAAATTACCCGAATAACTGCCAAAATACCCAAAAATTATCAAAAATGTGATCCGAAAACCCAAAAAATACACAAACTTTTACCCAAATACCCAAATTATATTTTTTGAAAATCTAAAATTTTACCCGAAACCTAAAATTATACCCGAAAACCCGAATCCGAATTTTAAAAATACCAAAAATATACCTAAACACCTAAATATACCTTATATATGCAATAATTTGCGGATATTACGGGTATTCGAACGGGTCTCGGGTAGGATCCGGACCCGATCCAAAACCCGCGGGTCGAAATAAAAAGGATCCAACAGGTACTTTAGCATGGACCCGGACCTGGATACGAATTTGTATTTTCGGTCGGTTCTGATTCGGGTCTTCGGATCCAAAATACCCATGCCTAATCTGTTTACAAGTAACCGTATAGCATCATCGCCTTCTCCACTGGCATTCCCATCGACAGATACAAGGTAATTAAAATTTGTCAAAAACTCTAAACGCATTTATCCAGAGGGAAAATGAAAGATGATAGATGCACTTCTGGAAAATGTTGGATAATCAAATCAATAATCATAGTCTCAGATGCACTTTTGAAAATAAGTATAGTAATCAATATATGACAGAAGAGCAAGAAAACTATATTGCCTTTCACAGTTGTGACCTACTTTGTTTTTCTTTTTTAAAGAACATGTTGTGAAGTATCATAAGTTTTCAAATTAATTTTAGTTTGCAATAAGTAAAAGCATCCGTTTAGTTATCTTTAGCTACAATACAAACTAGAACAACTTCGTTAGAGCTTTCAGCCGAGTTAAAACAAACAAAATAATTGTTACGTTAGCTCTTTTTTGCTATAATATTGTCTTTTCTTATTAAGACCAGTAAATCTAGACAAGTTTTGAATAAGCATTGCATAGTTTCAGATGTGCTTTTTACATAAAAATCAGATGTACATAACAAAAAATAATAAGACGTTGCATGTGACGACACACTGAACCAAAAGAAAAGAAGATATGATAGGAAAGGAATAATCAAAGAAAAGGCCAAACTTTTATAAATATTTTTGTAAAGGTTACATAAAACTTAATAAATATAAATTTAATATACGTAGAAATGGATATGAGATGTGATGGCACAACACAAATACACGAGTGGTACTCAGAAAAGTACCCAAAAGAAGCAATAACCCAAATGGATCACATCTCATCACTCATCAGTTCTCTTTAAATGGCTATAAATAAAGATCTCACCCCTCTTTACGTTTTTGCTCTCTTTTTTTTCTGCTTTGTGGTAGCTGAAACCAGCACGAGAAAACACAACCAATTTTCTTATTATTTTCTAATCGAATTACATCTTATGTAATATTTTTTTGTCTATACTTACATCTATATATGATAATAGGAGACAAGAAAATAATAAAGAAGTGTAGGATCGAAATGGACCACATGGTAGAGGCAGCTTCACAGGCTTGTACCTAAATTCCACCTGGTCCTTAGATCTCTTTACCGCAGATATTGTTAAGATGGCACAAGAGGAAAAAGAAAGCTATTGTAGAATAGGAGTTTTATGTTCTGTCCTATTGTTTTTTCTGTACAGTACATTCATGTATATTAGAAAACATTGACATGCTTTCTAATACATGATATGTTGTAATAGCCTGATAGAAGGATATTCTATTATCCCCTCAAGCTGGAGATTGACGATGCCCAACTTTTCAAAAAAATAGCTCAAATTCTCTTTTTGTAAAGGCTTTAGTGAAGACATCCGCAAGTTTTGTAAATCTTATAAGACGTGGAGCTTTGATTGTACCTTTAACAATCTTATATCAGATAAAGTAGCAGTCAGTGTCCACATGTTTAGTTTGCTCGTGTAGAACCGGATTGGAGGCTAAGCTAAGCGCTAACTCACTGTTGGAGTTTGATGTTGATCAACCAATATACACGCTTGAGCCAAATTAGTTCCTAGTCAAATATGTCATTCCCCAATAGAGATATTAAACACTAAACCCAATTACCAATACCCAAATTTTCATATTTTGATTTGTAAATGTTAAGAGTCATTTATCGCTTTGTATATTTCAGTATCATTTCCCCCTTCAGTGTGTAGTTTACAAATGAAATTGCCATGCACAAATGCGTGTAGAAACTAAAGTTCATGTATATAAGATTTGTGTGTTATACTTGTTCTCACTGCAAATTCTAAAACTTTGGATGTTTTTGTTTTTGCAGCAGAAACAGCTAAAAACATAGGAGTAGAGTTGTAGCCTACGTGGGACTTGAAAGTTATAGAATAATAGCCCACGTGAGACTGGAAAGTTGTAGAATACAGCCTATGTGAGACTTGACACTTGAACATTTCGACCAATTTAAAAAAAAACACAGATGACTGGAAGAAGAACCGGAACTGAAAGGAATCTCTTCAGCCACGCAACCTAAAGAAGCTGCAGAAAAGTACACACATACACAGACAAAAATTCTCAACATATAAAACTAAATATCATAAGAAGATAAACTATGATTCCTCTTCCTTCGGATAGAGTAGAATACCTGATAGAGTCACTCTTTGTTTAGTACTTTAGGTACTTTTAAATACACCTCATCAAAGCTTGGAATCGAAGCTCTTATACTTTCCCTTCATAAGGAGCATCAAAACTTTAGTAGATGGGGCCGTAACCAATTCTACTATTCAAGATGGAGACAGCAACTATAAGAAGATCAAACCTGTTTTCAAATGTTTCTGGAGCATCCTCTCGCAAATTTCCACCTTCCATTTCTACAAGTTTTTTTAAAAAAAAGATCAGTAAGGATCAAGACACTGAAACAAGCAGAGTTAAATATCAAATTTCAAATGGATTAGAATTTTGATAAGTAGACCTCTCATTACACTAAAAGTCTAAAACCAAAATGCCTCCTCAGATTTTACCAAGAGAATGTGCTTAGACAACAAAAAGGCCCTCATCTCCAAACAACTTTGCTTATAAAGATCTGTCCACATGAGTCTTCTTTAAACAGGATCAAACTCATTGATTCATCACTCAAGAGATGGATGCAAACAAATCTTAGCTATACTACACTCTTTCTTCCCTAAAGTTTCAATCTTTCATGAATGTTTCATATCAGCAAAACAGAACAACCACAAACAAAACCAAAGAAAGATACAAAAAACACCAAAACAAAGAAGAAAGTTGTGTACTTCAACACAAACCTGCTCTAATCGCTGGTTCCACGCTGTTAACATCAACTTGTTGAAGCTGACCAAACCTGCATTTTTTTCCACCAATTCACACAAACCAATCTCAGAAAAGACAATAACTTTAAACATTACACAACACGAAACTATCTAAATACACAAATTCGATTCAATTACCAGTCAATAACTTGACGAATCTTAGCTCCACATTCCTCAATCTGAAACATCAATATGAAAACTCAATATATAGAGAAAACGTAAAGGGTTTAATAGTAAAAGGGTTTACCTCGGAAGGAGTAAGAGAGATTCTCGCTGTCTCAGCTAGACGGGATACGTCCGGCGGCTGAAGAACAGAGGAGTTCGAGTCAGACGAGAAGCATCGAGCTATTCTACTGTGTCTTTGGAATTGGAGACTTGAAGAAGAAGAAGATGGAAAGGTTGAGGCTTTGATTCTGATAATGCGTGGTGGTGAAGCTGATATGACGGCAAGCAAAGCTCTCGTCGCCATTGGCTTGTTTTGAAACTCTCGGGAAGAATACTGAGTGATGAATTGGATAGGAAGAGGATGGTTAAATTGAATCAAAGTTGTTAACCGGTTTTAACCGGTACGCTTACAAAAATCAGTTGAGGATAGTTTTTTCAACATCTTCGTATTATGGGACAAAGCTCAATGATTACAAGCAGTTACGAATTTGTTGATTCAAATACTTAAAGGCCAACAATGACCCGTTTACAAAATAAGATTGAAAAAAGCATGTGTATACATAGCTAAATCGCTGACTACTATATAGCAAAAGACATCAAGATTCATCCTCAAGTATGTGGTCCAGGCAACTCTATTGGCGGAAACGTAATGGACGGCGTCACGAGAAAAGCCTTCTTATATTGCCAGACTGATACATCTTCGGCATAAAAATGTTCGAGATAGACTACGCACAATTCAAAGAATATGGGAGACAAGAGGTATGAAGATGGTCTAAGGTTTTGGTTCTTCAGAGTAACACCAATACAATATAGATATTATGATACTTATTTATTCTTCTACTCTTTCAAAATAAGATGCACTTGATGTAAACAAAAGGTTCTTATTTAAATAAATTCAACATTCAATTTTTTTAAAAAAAGATAGTGAAAAACTTTAACGAGCCAGTAAAAGAGTCTCGCTAAGATTGATTCTCGCTCAGATTAAGATGACTAACAATTAAGAATCAAAGCCTCTAAGCTGAGCGGAGTAAGAGTTACCATCAAGAAGGAAAAGACGAACAAACTCCGATTTGATATATAACCAGAGACTTTATTCATCCTCACTTCCATTAGGGAAAATAAGATTGATACATAACATCAACTCTGATTTAGATAAGAGAGGAACACAACAAAAGCTCACCTTGCGAAGTAGATAATCCGATAACGCGGACTCAGAATCGCCTAGCAAAGAACTATATTACAGCAAAACAAAAAAGAATAAAAAAAAAAGTTGGTAACCGGCGACATAAGACCACGGGCCACCGAAGATGCAACTTTGTGACAGTCGGTTCTCAGCTAGACATAAATCCATCAATTTATAGGTTTAGTTCTTCATTATGAATTAGGTTGGCATTTGTTTGACCAGTGTAAAAGTTTGAACCAATTGCTGGTTGTAGTCCGATGGAACACTATTTGAATCTCGGTTTTGTGTTCTCATGTTTCTGATCGAAACTGATCAGTTTTGAACATTCTTACCGTTGTAATTTTGTTTATTTTCGTGTTCTCTCTTTGAAGACCAGCGTATCATTCTTGTAGTTTCAATTATTTGGTCGGGGGTTGTGAATCATATCAAGACAAGTTGGATGTGAATGCTTGCAGTGCAGCCACAGAAATAGACAATCAAATTGTGGTCACAACACAACTTTGTGATCCTACAACCTGATCACTTTTTTGTACCGATTGTACAGTCTTTGTCTATTGTATTTCTTGATATTAGTAGAAAATCAAAAACTTTAATCAGCCATGTTTCTTCAGCCTCTTCATCCTCAGCTTCAACCAAGGTTGAAAATTATAGCCTAGCTCTCAATTTATTGAAACCTTCTTTCAAAAATGAGTAAAAAACACTTATGCTGTTTTTTCTTGTTTTAAAGTCTTTTTGTAACAGCAAACTAACAAAGCTCATGAATTATTTATACAGATGAGATGAAAATGATCTCTTCAGAACTGATTCCCTGTTCATTGTCATATTAAAGTTATGCTAATCGTTCATCTAAAATCCTTCATATTGATTTATCTCTGTACATGTAATAAGTTGCAAGTATGTCTACATAATTTCTTCGAGAATTTAATAATTACGCAAATACAGATATTGCCTTTTTAGAGGAAATATTATATCGAGATCCAACCTTTGTTAAAGAAAGAGATTTGGGTTGGCATAAAAGTGCGGCTGACGAATATTCTCCACAAACATTCTTAAATCAGTAAATACAACAGACAATTCTTAAAGCAATAAATATATTATTCACTACTGGGCCTTGGTGGCCCGTTTAGCATCGATCTCAGCTCGGAGTAGGACCCACCATTTCGTTGTCGGCCCACGCTGGCCACCGCTTTATTTTCTTTGTGCGCCTTGGCGTCGCTTTTTTTTTCTTTTTTAGTCGACCGTGGTTTTTCTTATTTTATTTCTCACAATTTACAGTGTATAAATTTTATTTTCTGAACCTTTAGTATTACGGCTTCTACTCCCTTGCTTCTACTTTTTCAAATAAATTATTGTTTTCTTGTTTGTGTCTGTCTGGACTGTGGACAATTTAGTACTTTAAGGTGTTTGTAACGTATTGAATTAACATGTAGTAAGTAGTAACCCTATTTTGTATCCCAACTAATGATAGAAAATTACAGGTGCGAACAAAGGTGACGACAAAATGACAGTACGAGCAAGTAAAATTACTATAGTAGAACAAACAAGTTTCATCTTTCTAGTGGATGAAAAATCTTTCGAAACTTTTGAATAACGTATCGCTAATCTTGAAGTTAATTAGCACTTCAAGACGCTATCTATGATATTTGAAAAGAAATGTATGCTAGACTCGCTACTGCTCAAAAGCGTTTTCAACAACTATTCAGAGTCGATTCCAAAACTTTTTTTTTTGAGAATTAAATTGAGGTTTTTTGCGAGAGAGAGATGCTGAGAAGCGCTCTCCAAAAAGAATAACCGATTCCAAAACTTCAGAGGTCATAAACATTTAGTAAATAATTTAATACATTTAAAAAAATATTTAGAAAACTATACCCAGATATTATCTATTAAAATTTTAGAAGTTGAAACCAATTAATATTTGAGATGTTGCATCCCTTAAAAGATCTAAGAGAAGAGAGATCTAAGAGAAAAGAGATCTAGGATAGTAGATCAAGAGAAACACATTGATTTAGTTTTGAGAGAGTTTCTAAATCTAATAAGAAGTGTTAGTTCTTATATTTTTGTGTGTTTGTGCAACTAATAATTGGTATCAGAGCTTGAGTTGAAACTTTGATCTAAACTTTAATTGGTATCAGAGCCTCTAGGTTTCGAAATCGTTTACAAGAGGAGTTGTAATTCGATCAAAACCATGGGAGACGATGTCGCTTCTCAAGTACAGGATAAAGGTCTTGAGATGAAGAAGGACATACGATGTCTGATGCTAACATCGACCAACTACACCGTTTGGTCGATAAGGATGAAGATGTTACTTCGTGTTCATGAGGTGTGGGACGCGATGGAACCCGATTCGGATGATCAAAAGAAGAATGATGTGGCGACTGCTCTTTTGTTTCAATCCGATCCTAAAACTTTGATTCTTCAGGTGGGAGATCAAACCGCATCAAGAGATATCTAGAACGTCATCAAGTCACGACACCTTGAAGTTGATCGTGTAAGGGAGGCAAGACTTCAAACGTTGATGGCGGAGTTTGATAGGCTAAAGATGAACGACACAGACACATCAGATGACTACGCTGAGAAGCTATCGGGTGTTGCATCAAGATTGGTTGCGTTAAGAGAGGTTATGGAAGAACCGAAACTTGTGAAGAATGATACACAAGTTCGTGGAGAACACAATGGCTACCGAGGAAGAGGTAGAGGTTATGGTAGCATAGGTAGATGTCGCGGAAGATTCAGTAGTCACAACGAAGGAGGAGAAGCTTCTAAGAAGACTAAGAAGGATCATTCCAAAGTACAGTGCTGGAGATGTGACAAGGTGGGGCACTTCGCACCAGTCTGTCCTACACAAGACCAAGAAGCTAACATAACAGAAACACAAGAAGGGGATGGTGTTGAGAATCATGATCACCAGAACCATGAAGAAAACGATGAAGAAGAAAAACTTGAAGCTACAACAGAAGAAGAACAAATAGCAGAGAATAACAATGCAAACCAAGAACAGAATGTTACATCAAGATATGGTCGTAACATCAGAAAACCAAAGCGGTTTGATGCTTACATTCTACTCGCTGAAGTTGAAGGTGGTAGACTCTTGCTTACCATAGATGGTGAACCAGAAAGTTATATCGAAGTTGCATCGATACAAGCATGGATCGATGCGATGATGGCAGAGATCGAATCTATCATCAAAAAACAAGACTTGGAAGCTTGTTAAGAAGCCGGCAGGTTTGAAACTGATAGGTTTCAAGTGGGTCTTCAAGATTAAGGATGAAGCATCATCAGCAAAATGAGTTAATTATAAAGTTCAGGTTGTTGCAACATGTTTCGGTCTGAAAAAGGACGTAGAATACAATGAGATATTCTCATCGATGGTCAGACATACTTCCATCAGAGTATTGTTAGCGCTGGTAGCACATCATGACATGGAGCTTAAGCAATTTGATGTGAAGACGATGTTTCATGGGAGAAACAAACACATACTCTCGAAGTACCATTTCATGCATGAGTGTGTAGAAGATGATCACATCGAAGTCATGCACATACCAGAAGTTCAAGAGATCAACAAGCCCAAGATTCAAATTTTGGAATTAAGGGGGTGAATGTTGGATAATTCTAGTTAACTTAAGAAGGAAGTTAACTTATTAAAGAGGAGTTTAGTAAGTTAAGGAAAAAGGAAAAACATATCGAGCTTAGGAATGTTTTCATATTATTATTAATTAGGTTAAGATGTAGTTTCGCCTATATAAGGAGTTGAAGAGATGTTGCATCCCTTAAAAGATCTAAGAGAAGAGAGATGTAAGAGAAAAGAGATCTAAGATAGTAGATCAAGAGAAACACATTGATTAAGTTTTGAGAGAGTTTCTAAATCTAATAAGAAATATTAGTTCTTATATTTTTGTGTGTTTGTGCAACCAATATTATAATCTCGAAAATGTTTCCCAAATAGAAAACGAACTCTTTCAACATAGTTTCCATGCAGCCTATGTGTTTATATATTAACAATACAAAGTAACTTGTGTAATCCAACCTATTGGACTAGTTATGATTATGAAATACAAGTGTTTTAAAAGATAGTAAAATAAACAAATGAGGAAATGGCGGAACGAGTAATTGATGAATTTTAGGTTGTATTTTTAATTAGGAAATAAAATACAACCATTAAAAACTGAAACAAGTTATGAACGCGATCCAATGAGTTGAAAATACTGTGACAATTTGTCACCACCTTACCTCATATGGAAATGAAGTTGACTCGTTTACAGTGATGAAGCAAACAGACGGCACGATTTTCGAAAGGTTACCTATGTCTGGCGCCACTTCTTTAACAGCTTCATCACGCCGAATGTAAGAC